GACCAGAGGTAGTATTTATGTATTTTTTTTCTAACATTGTCCTTCTAATAATAATAGTTCTAACCAACACCCTTGATTAACAAGAATATTTTAGGAAAGACAATATTTATTTATTATAAATAACTAACTTAACTTACTTTCTTAATCTTTTCAAATTAATCAACTAATTCTCATAATTCGGACAGAAGGTAGTAATAGAAAGTCGACAACCTGAAATATTAGCTAGTTCATAGATAAAGTTAATAGGTTTTAAACCTTATCCCAAAGGTGTGTTTGGGTGATACCCCAAACCATGGTTTGGGGATCCAAACCATGGTTTGGGAAATAATCTACCCAAACACCCCCTCCAAAAACCAAAACCATGGTTTTGGGTCAAAACCATGGTTTTGGAAAAAGTAAAATTTTTTTGCTTTTGGAGAAAAAAGGGAGAGTGTGAGGGCTTATATGATATGTATCTTGTTATTTTTTTATAAACATATTTTTTTATAAATATATTTAATCTTATATTTTATAAATATATATAAACATTAATTATTTATTAATTATATTATCTTATGTATTATTAATTATGTTGGTAAAAAATATATTATTAATAATTTTATTCCTTCAAATTAAAATATATCATAAAATCTATTTTTTCTGTAATTATCATATTAACTTATGTCTTTTTTTTTAGTAATTTGTATATATAAAAAGTGCTTTTGATAACAACTATCCAAACACTCTCACTTCTCAAAATCACTTTTTTACAAAATATATTCTTCACAGAATCTATTTTCCTCAGAATCTATTCTCCAGAATCACTTTTCCAAACCACGGTTTGGTTTCATCCAAACACACTAGTTACCAATGAAGCGCGTTAGGAGTTTTTCAAAGATATCATTGGCTGGGACCCATTAAAGATGTGCAATGAAATATACGCAAATCTTTTATGGGGAAAGAAACTAAAGTCCATTGCACAATCATTAAAACCAATCCATAAAGCAAAATCTTGCCCCTGCCAACTAATCAAACAAAAGAAAGCCAAATCCATTATTGTATTTATATTAGTTGGTAACTGAATCATGATGTTGTGGGAATAAATTTGATTAGCATCAAGACAAATCACATAGGTTCTTTATTATCCTAAACTTCACCCTGATTTTTGGATGCAAGCTTTAAACAAATCATTTTGTCCACTTCCTATTCAACTACATAACTAATCTTTACATCCGCTAGAATTGAATATAGTGAAAAGAGTTAGTTCCTAAAAAAGATGAATTAAGGTTTGAATCTCTATTTACAGAAGTATCCATATTTAATACTCGACATTGTTTTGAATATAATTAACTTCAATAGGAGAATAGTTATACGTAGGGAAAAAAAAGTAACTAATCTCTATGTTGTCGGAAGAGCATTTTTAAAATATATTTAAAATAGAACTTCTGATATTTTATTTAATAAACCGGACCAGGCCCAAATCATTTTTCCTCTACAGCAGCGTTGTGCTTGTGGGATCACGAATGAAAATATTTAATTATCCATAGGCCTTAGCTACATGTAAATGCAGAAATTTCACATGTGAATACGACCAAGAAAATAATTTTGTTCCTTATCTAAGACTTAATTGTGATTCTCCCAATTTCTTTTACCGTGTGACAGTTAGATCTTGAAAGACCAGATAACAACTAGATAAAAAATTGTTAAAATAGACGCTGTAAGTATAAGTAAAGATAATAGCTGCTGGCAAAAAAAAAAAAGAAAAGATAATGGCAAATATATAAATCTCAGTTTTAAACCAGATATTTAGGTCTTGTATTACCATGTAATCGACACTTTCATATTTACACTTATATGAATTAATATTTATAAGTTATTTTATGGAAATTCTTTAAAACCCAGTTATAATTAAATTAAATTTAGGAGAATCACTGCGAGGTTTCAAGAAAAATATGATGATAAAAAAAGTTTTAATAACAAATAAGGAATTAGAATTTATTATCATTTTTTATACTGGAACTAATTATTACAAACTACTCAGTTGTTGTTACAAAATTTTTTGGTTAATATATTTATTTCTTAAGATTTTATCATAATTCTTTTATTAAACTTTAAAAAAATATTTTCTTTTGTTTCATTCAGTGGAGCTCAAAGATTGCGTGTTTTGACATTCACAGCGCACAAGTCACAACACAACGCTGTCTTTGGGAGAAAGTGTGGCTTCCTTCAAACTTCTATATCAATCTACTTTGGTAAAGTTAGGCAACTGATGCCCATTTAAGGAGCCCCACGTCTTGTGATATGAAAAGGGAAGAATGAATGAAATTGGGGGGAAAAAATAACTCCCCCTGTTATACATATAACTATTACAAATAATTTTTAATGTAAAAAGGTAATTTTTCTAAATATACTATTGTTCATAGCTAGAGAGACGACGAATGGGAGAGGAAAAATGAATAGAAAAACACATAAAAAAGGAAAACGCTTAATTAGGTGAAATTCATTATATTTATTATGTCAAGTTCTCCGATAATACATGATCGTGTCATTTTTTGTTTCATGTGAATTTATAATTAAATATTACTCCTCTGGTGTTAAATATAAAACTCATTTTGTAGTGTAAATTACACTACAAAGTGGGTTTTATATTTAGGACCGAATAAGTATTAAATAATATTTAAAAATAGGACACATAATCATGTATGATTGAAGAATTTGATATAATAAATATAAGAAACTTGATGTAAGTATTATCTTATAAAAAATTAATTGAAAAAAGAGATAAGAATAACATATACTCCTCTAATTCTATTTATAGGGCAAAGAGAAAAGATATTTTTTGGTCCTATTTATAGGACACTGAAAGAATTTTTTTGCATAGATATATAATTTTACCCTTCATTTATTATTATGTTGACTTTGTTTGCATGAGGTACAATATATATTAAATAGAGATAAAGTTAGAAAGTTGTTGAATTTTAAATGAGAATTAATAAAATTTAAGCTTTTTTTTATCTATGTGAAACATGTTAAAAATAACTTATAAATAAGAACAGAAGAGTAATTATAGGACTAAAAATTTAAAAAAAAATAAATTAAATTTTCGGACAAGTAATTCGGCATAGAAAAATAGTAGGAGGGAGCAGTAATAAATGGGCCGATGAGAGGAGAATCTGCAAACTAGAATAACCATGAGAGATCGGAGGGGGACGTTTTATTTTTTGGTAAGGTTCTGACCAGCATTAAATTCTGAAGTCCAAAACCAAATTCAAAACTCATCATTTGATTAATAGGAAGCCTGGGAAGACTCATCATTGCTTTCCTCTTCACTATACCCAAAGTTTTCCTTTGAATGTGGCCACCTCACTTTCATTTATTTAACTCCACGCTTTGCTGTCCTCTTTAATTGCAGTGCTCAAAGCGGTCAACCAGACAACCATCTTGATCACCCCATATAGGGCTTTAAATTTTCTCTCCATCTATGATTTTCTTTAGATTCCCCACAGATATACTTATCCAATCCTATTTAGTAAGTCATTTTTGTTTTCAATATATTTTATATAAATTAAGAAAAATATTAAATTTTATTAACTCTACTTTAAAGTTTAATAACTTTTTAACCTTATCCCTATTTAATATACATTATATCATATAAGAATAAAGTCAATACAATAATAAATGATAAGTAGAATTGTATATTCATTTGAAAAATTTCTTTCTACCTTGTAAATATGATAAAAAAAAATTTATTCTCTCTCTCTATCATATAAATAGAACTAGAAGAATATATACTATCAAATTAAACATATTTTTTACACACCTATAAAATCATTTATCACTCCCTCCCTCCCTCCTACTCCTCTGATCCACTCTTTTCTCTTCTTCCCCCTCAACTCACTTCGTTCAAGATACAAATTTAGTTTGATAACATGTAAAAAAAAAATACTCTGGTTTTAAATATAAGACTTATTTTATAGGATAATTTATATTATAAAATAGATTTTATATTTAGGATTATAGTAATAAATTCTTTTTTTGAATACAGACGGGAACGAAGAACCTGCATTTCCCAACAAAAACCAAAGGCTATAAAAAATAAAAAAAAAGAACTAAAAGGAAAACCTAGCTAATGCTCCTCTTCAACGTCTAAGAGCAGTAACATCTAAAAAGAAGTATTGTACTCCTTTCCATTAAATAGCACATTAATTATTTATTACAATTTTCTCCTCTTACATCTACGAAGTTGATATAGAAAAATAAAAGTGCCAGTGTGCCACAATAAATAGAAGATTATAAAAAATAGTTAATATAAGAAACAAGAGAAACAGACCATATATTCAAAATCAAATTATATCTTTCAATAAGGGCAAGTTAGAAAACTTCTTAAATGTTTAGTGATTTCCTTGATTTAAAAAATTGTCTTGGTTCCAATAAAAATATTAAAAGTAGTTTATAAATGGGAGCAGAGGGAGTATACAGATATTTAAAAATTTATGGCATAAATCACCTCCAGCGCAGCAAATTTGTCAAACTTTCCAGAAACTAATCAAATTGGGGGATGGGATCATGCTTTATTTTGCGGGGTCTGATGAATCACGTGGGTAGACTTCACGTACTTGTATGGGTTTTCTATTCTTTGGAAGCAATTGGCAGTATTTGCAAGAGATTTCAAACATAGATCTTAAATCTCAGACGGCTCCCCCAGTCAAGTGTGTCCAAACAAAACTTGGATTGCTATGCAATATTTCAATTCTGCGGCTAACTTTCTTTTTTGTTTTCGCAAAGGCCAACTTATTTCCTTTTTGCAAAGAGTTGAACTTCAGCCTCAACATTTTTTGCATTCCCGTTAAATTATTCAAGGAACTTTTGGCATCTCATTTACCTGCATGCTGTTCAAGAAAAGAATTTCTTTCCTTCAATCGCTCTGGTCAACTGATCTGACATCAAAATCAATCGACAATCTTGAATACATTTTTAAAATCATACTAGGAAGAATATTTGACGAATCTCACATAAATAGCTAAAATAACAAAAATTTGCTGACAAATGTCAATTCAGTATATCTGAAGCTGAACCAGCCAAACGCAAAAAATGCAACCCCAGAAGAATTGAATATTTCACTTTGAAGGATAAATTATGTACTCTGACCGCCATAGTTCAAAGGAAGTAAGGAAGTGTTTCTTATGCATACATCTGCCATTCAAATGGATGGTAAATCACATAGATTTCTGTAGATAACTTGAAATGTTAACCTCCGACGACTATGCTAGAATTCAGAGAGGAAAAGCACATACATATCAAACCTGTATTTAAGAGGGTGATTCCACGGGTTCTTGATCATTCTCTTCTTCGTCTTGAGCTACATCTTCCATCCTTGGAAAGGAATTTCCACGTGAGAAGAATGTAACAATTGATTCTACTTATCCATAGCTTTAGAGCCATGTCATCTCTTGTTTCTTGCGCAAACTATACGTCAATTCTCACACAATGACCAATGAATTGTCTCTTAATAATCAATAACTCTGGACATATTAAACTAATTTATGACGTGAATTGTTATTTATAAGTATACATCAATATTCCAAATATTTATTTTCTACAAATTATTTACAATATATCAAAGCTAAAAGACAGGTAAAGCATATAAGGAAGATGCATTTGCTCATTGTGAAGACTGGAATCGGATCTAAGTTCCAGGTCCATTGACGCCCTCAAAATAACGCAAGCTATGTACAGGATATACCAATGAAAACCATGCCCCGCTTGTTCATATTAGACTGAAATTTCAGTACATGATACGGTGGGTCCAAATTTTGGCCACGCAGGCTTATAGGCCTTGCGAGTAAATTTGAATCTAAAGCTTAAAATGCAAACTCAAAATAAATTAGCTGTTACGAGCCAAAAATTGTCTTTACCTGTTTTCTTCAACCTTCATATCCATTCCAGACGCTTCATTATGTTGCAATATTGAACAGAATAAACTTTTGTCCTAGCGTAGAAATAAGCATTGTGCTTAAGAACTCATTGGAAGTAACGATATCTAGAGGGAATGAAGTAAAAACTTTATAGTAAAATCAAAATACTTATCTGGTAACTATGCAGCCAAGGACACTATGTCACTCTATAAAGCACAAGAAGAATTTTACAACTACATTTTCCTTTTAGGGCCATAACAGCTACTTGTTTGAGTATACATTTTTCTCTAAGTGCTAGGTCCAAAAATTGAGTAGGGATAAAGATTTATTTCCAGCGCCATAATTTCCCGGAACACAATTGTCCTCAGGACACATTTGTAAAATACTCTAAATAGACGTAATTTAAGGGCATAATAATTAAATGCGCAACTTGAAATGCTTCATGAAATCCTTAATGAGAAACGAATCTGAACAATCAAAATTTTGTACCAAAGTAACTTTGAATTATATTACCTCCTCATTCATATTTCTGACAGTGGCGTTAATCTTCTGTAGGACGAATCTTAAACTTCCAACTTCATACTGCAATGCCTGTGAACAAAGTATGTTCAGAGAAGTAGGAAAATCTCCAGGATTGACAACTTCAAAATATAATATTGAGAAAACTGAATGCGGAACCTCTTTATCTGAAATTAAGTTCTGTATCATCACGTCCTTTACTGATAAAGTTTTCTGAAGGTGAGGCTTGTTAAGACAAAACTTTAAAATACGCGGACAAAAGTGCATATTATTTTTCTGGTGTTTGGTTCCGATTGTCATTCCTTGCTGGTAAGGATATATCTTCAATTTGAGGTGGGCTATTGTTGCTGAGTTTTTCTGCATCTAGCTTTGCTTCTAACTCTGAGATGAATTTATCCTTTCTTCTCAACTCATCTTCAATCTTTTCCAGTTTATTTCTCGAGTCGGTGATATTCTCTGGGAAAATTCAATTTTTCAGCTAATAAAAAACAGCTAATGTATCTGCTAGTTTTCTTTTTGAATTGCGCACAGGTGTCCTCCTATTCGAAGCAGTCCTATTCAAGGTATGATTGGACACTATATATGTTAGTTTTATTAATTCAATATGCATAAACAATTATTTTCTTTTCTTGTCTTAATAAACAAATATTATGTATACACACTCAACATTCCACATATTAAGATGGGTGGGTAAAAATTTAAATTACCTACAAATGCTTTTTCAAATGTGGAGATTTGATCCATTTTGTTTCTCAACTCAGCCACTAAATGCAGGAAACATAAAAAATGTCAATAGGCAGTGAAACTATAATTTGTCTGAGTGCCCTTAAATGAGAAGGCTTCTGAATAAGAGTTTGGAAAGCCACTTGCCTATTTTCTCTTTTTCATTGACAAGGCTGTGGACGTTATCAACAATTTGCTTGATAGAAAACACCTCCTTCTCTATTGAATTGAATAACAAGAGGTGGGCGTTTATCTTCTCAGAAAGAACGTTGAGCTTTCTATCTTTGGTTTCAATTGAACGTCGCATTTCAGAAGTGGTTTCCTGCACAACAGCAGAGTAGAAAAATAACTAAATTGAGAAAACCAATTGTGCAATTAAGCTTCCCCCCTGGTAGCATGCAATTCATTACGACAGTCATTTTTGTTGCTGTTGCTTAAGTGTTAGCCTTCATTGTGGAATACTAACGCTTAATAGTATCATTGTTTAACAAAGAACAGGGAAATGGTATCGGGCATGACATTAAAAAATAAAATCAGATACCAGCAATAAAATTAATCCCGTTCGTGTTTGAAAAATTACCATATACGAACCTCGTAAGCATGCATGAAATTTTCCCTGGACAAAAGTAGGCTTTGTATGGTATCCTTCAACTCTTTTTGCTGGATTTCAAGCAAAGCATTGTCGTTCTGAAGATAATTCACCTGCAGTTATAATGTTACATTTTAAAACTCCGCATTAGCAAGTAGCAGCTGATAGAATATAACTCCAGCGAACAATCACGTTAATTGGAATTTTTGATTGAAACAAAATGGGAAAAACGCACCCTCCTTCGAGTTTCTGGCACTCTTCTTTGACTGAAGCTAACTCGGCTTGCAGGTCCTGTATTTTTCTGTTATGCTCTTCCTCGCTTTGTTTATGCTTCTGTTTTTACTCTCAATGTCACAATCAGACCAACAGAAAATAAAAAACGGCCAAAAATAACCAATCATATCGAAATGAAAACCTCAATTCCGTGTTGGTGTTGTTCGGCCGTTGTGCGTTCCCTTTCCTGAAAAACTATCAAGTTATTACCGATCTACTGCGCTTAGAACACAGAAAATAGCGGGCAAAGAAATTTTTACTCTGAGCTCCCGAACTTCAGTGACAAGAGCTCGAAGTTGGAGCTTGAACTTGGACAATTTGAGCAATTCCATTACCATTCCCCCGAATTCCCCTCAGCTCGTTACTTCGCGATTTTCATTTGCAGCGTAAACGCGCCAAGACCAACAGGTCAAACTCCGCATCGGGTTTAGGCCCAAAAAACACTCGGGATCGGGTACTTTGGGCCGGAACATGAAACGACGTCGTTACATTTTGGGTTTTTTCCTGCAGTATAGCCCTTTTCTTTTTGGAAACTCTCTTGTGGAAACATATTCTTCTTGTCCTAAATATAAAACCCTTGTACATACTAGTATAAAAATTTTATATTTAGGATCGGAGGAGTATATGAAATGTAGCTGTCTTTATAAAATACTACCTCCGAAGTTTAATATAATAGCTCATTTAATTTTTATTTTGGTTTTAAATATAATACTCTAATTCATTTTATTTTTTATATTTATCTATTTTTTTAAGATAGTCCTTATAATACTAGTAGTTGTAGTTAATATATTTGATTAGTGAAAATATTTTAAGAAAAATACTATCTATTTATTACAAATAACTAACTTAACTGATTTTTTTAATTTACTCAAATTAGTCAACTAGCTCTTATATTAAAGACAACAAGTAGTATAAGAGCCATTTAACTAGTTAGAGTAGATTAAGAAAGTTACAAGTTGGTTATCTATAATAAATAAGAGTTTTTTCCTTAAAATACCTTTACTAATCATGTATATTAATTAAAACTACCATTTGATAAAACTTTTAACAAATACAACTATTATAAATACTATCTTTAAAAAAATAGACAAATATAAGAGACAAAGTGAATTGAAATCTCCTATTTAAAATTAATTTGTTGCCAAATTAGCTTTTATATTAAGCAAAGGAGGCTGGAGATTATGTTTCCAAGAAGTACAAATTTATACTCCCTCCGTTCCTTATTATAAGAGACATTTGATGCTTATGGCATGTTCCTATATATAAGAGACACTTACAAGTTGTCTCTACTTTTTTGTGTTGATTTACTATTTTACCCATATTTATTATCTCCAACTCACACTCTCTCTCCCTCCCACTTCTCTTTCTTTGAATAATTTAATTTTCTCTCTCATACTCTCTCTCCTTATTAATGAGGGTATTTTTGGAAAAAAATTATACTTTTTACACATTAATTGTTCTTAACTAATTTTAACTGTTTTTTTGATCAACGTATTTCGGTTATTTGTCTCTTATAATAAGGAACGGAGGGAGTAATTGACTTATACATACAAGCTGTTTCATTTGTTATTATTGTTATCTGTGTACTGTGCATTATTAGATTTTGGCGGCTTTGGAGCGGATTTTGGCGTGGATATATGGTTTAAATAACGTAATTCTTATAAGATTCTTAAACACGTTAAACGAACGTCCTTTCCACAATTGTGAAACACGGTAGTAATATGGATAGGCCGAATCGTTGTCCTTGGATCGTCTCGTGTACGAAATTGCATGTCAATATATCAACGTTTACAAACTCAAATGTTCGCTTTATCAATTTTTTAAAATATGTTGTCATTATATTTAAATTTAACTAAAAGCCATACATTATTTCATGCGGAAAAAATCAAAATTAAAAACACGATTTTTAATTAGGCAATATCATCATTATACTCACTCCAGAACTTAAAAGCTAAATGATGAATTTGCAGATATTAAAATAATTAATTAAATTAGTTATTTATAATAAATATATATTCGTTTTCCTCTAGTACCATTAAAACTGTAACTATCCTTTCATAAAAACTCTCTTACGGAGTGCAACCAATAGGAGTATTTTATTCAAAAAAAATATAAATTTAAGAGGTAAAGTGAATTGAAATCTTATATATATATGAGCTAATTAAGAAGTTGATTTGATCCTATATATAAGACCTATTTCACATTTTAACAATTTTTTTCAAATTAACTTTATTAATATTCCCCCAACAATAATTAAATAGAAGAGGGGGGAGAATTGAGAAAGATGCTTTTAGTATTTTATAAAAAAACATATCATATTAACTAATTCAACTAATATATTTAATTTATTTAAATTAATTAATTAAGTTTTATATTTAAAATCATAAAATTACTTAAAATCCAAATAAATTACTTATCTAACTTCTATATTTTATAGACACTCCCGAAAAGGAAGGGTGTGGGATGGAGCTTTCAAGCGGAGGAGTGAAAACTTGGAGAAAGGAGGGGGCCGGGGGACAAATGCTAAGAAAATTTTGCCCATTGTCATTCAATATGATAGTTCAGCTCATCATCATCTTTCTTTTGAAATTGCCTTCTTGCCTTCAATCATATTACCACATTCGCCCAACGCATTCACTGCTTTCATAAACGGTCGAACCCCACATAATTTTTCTTTTAACATATTATATATTAATTACTTTACCTAATACTCTCTTCCTCTCTTATTATAAGATTCAATTTTTTGAATAGGTTTATTTTTTTTATAAGATTTCTTTTGAGTTTGTCTGAACATTTAATATATTATTAACTATTTTATCCTTAATTTAATACATTTAATACATTCTTTTTCTTCATTTATCCTACTATTATTCTCTCACATCTACCCATTTATATATAACGGTGTATTTGAAAAAAAAAATTGTATTTACTACATATTAATTATTTTTAACTAATTTTAATTATTTTCTTAAATCATGTAATTTAATTATAATTTAATTAAAAGGATAGTACATGTTTCATAGAATGATAGGCCGATACGTATATTATTCTGTACTATTCCGATACCGTGGATGCTTTACAGCCATAGGACTAGTGAGCCTACTGTTTTTTCCTAACTCAAAGTATTTTTATTAAGTTATTTTGAATTTAAGACTAATTCTTATTAAGTTAAAATTATTGAGATTAAAATATCCCTAGCAAGTGTGTTCTTAAGATTTTAACTAGTGATTTTTTTTTCCCCGAAACGAGAGCACTTATCGCCTCAAATTGGTAAAACTGTTTTTATCAAAGTGAATAGGTGTTTTTTCACCAAAAAAAAAAAAAGTGAATAGGTGTTGAGAGTGGCTGACATTGGAAACCCAGCAAGAAGCCAGTGTCACGCGAAATGACACAAAATTGGAGTTTTCAATGAAATCTCTGCCACTTGAGGTAATGTAGCACGTGGCATGCTCCTGACTAGCTGCCTGTAAATTCAACGTGATTTTTTTATCCACATGTGACAGCCATACGAAACATAAAAAAAAATCTTAGGAAGTATTAGGGTAAGATTAAAATTATAATTTCAAAAGCATTTTTTACAGTATATTTGAGAATTAAACTTCTGATATTATTGAAATTATGTAAATAATTTTGAAATTTAAATATTTGATCATGATTTTTTAGATACTGGATTTAAAAAAAATAAAAAATGGAAATGTGTCTTAAGCATTGAGTTTTTTTTTGGGGGGGGGGGTGGTTAGCCAGGGATGCTGACTGAAGAAGATGGTTAGTCATTTTCGTTGCTTTTCTTTTTTTGGTCAAAGTCTTTTTCATTGTCCGGCATGTGTTTGTTATATCGTTTTCTTTTTTATCGCTCTTTTTTTTTTAAATCCCATCACCATTTTGTATTACAACTTGATGCCGAAAATGATCTCATAATCTAGCAGTATGATGAAAAAATCAAGTGGTTTTGATTATTGATAATTGATAGTTTTCTATGGTGCATATATTTTTGGATCAAATTTATGATGCTGCGTGCATAATTGGTTTATTAAATACAATATTCCAATTCTTTTTTTTGCCATCTACGATATTCTAAATACTTCATGTTAAAAAAAGGATGGAATAAAATAATGTTAGGATGGAATTACCGAATTAGCGGGGGAGAAAAAGGGAGAATTAGCTAGAAGTGACATAAGGGAGGAGCTAAGATTCTTTTTTTTACGAAAGGGAAATTTGAGAAAAACGTGGCGACAATCTCAGGAGTGAAGGCTTTAAATTTGTTATTCGTATTCGATGCTTTTTTTTTATATAATATTTTTCGTTCTGCAGTATACAACTTTGTGGTGTGAGAAGGAAAAGAAAGAAAATCAATGAGGAAGGATAAAAATTCAAAATATTCAAGCAAATAATTCTACTCTCATTTATAAATATAAGATCTAGTTTTTACAATATAAATTTTTATATTTAGCATTGGGAGTAATATTATTTTTCCTTCAATATAAGTTGCTTCATTAAACTTATTGTACTCTAGAATTTTACTTCCAATTTATTACTATTTAGAGTTTTATTTTATTAAAAATATATGTATTAAATTAGAGTAAAATTAAAAAAATTATTAAATTTTAAGATAAAATTAAAGATATTCAAGTTTACTGGCATGAGATATTTTATACAAGTAAAATATTACGCGTTCAATCGTACTTCTAACCCTATACCATGTTCGTGTTTACCTTTTAATTAACAAAACAAGTCATATTCAGATATTATTTAAGTAATTCATATCTTTTTTCCCATTTACTAGATTTAAACATTTGATCTCGCTTGGAACGACTGTTATGCCGATTAAATGTTTGATGCTAACAACTGGTCTAACTTGTTTTCAATTTAGTTTTAAACTTTGCTTCACAATTGTCCAAAAAAAAACAAAGGAAATTATTGATATCTATCATCAAACTGGACCTCCTAATATAATGCCAAAGACATGTAGAGTAGAAGAAGGATCAATGTCAAGGAATTAAAAAAAGACCAAATCGATTGATGCAACAAGATAAGATTTGTATAATTTATTCTGTTATTTTCCGGATTAAATTGAATATAATTAGATTATTTGTCTTAAACACATCTGAGCTCCATAGAGTTACGTGTTACTCACATAAAACTCAAACTATAAATAGATTATTTATACATAAAATTGACTTTAATAAGATTTTTCTTGGTAAAGGACTTCAATAAGATATTTGATTATTAATGATATATATATATATATATGTATATCATGTTGCTCTATCAAACAAGGATCTGAGTAAGAGGTTTCCACTGAATTTAGACATCAGAAAATTATTTATGGGTAACTTAAAACTGGATAATTTTGTGTAATTAACTTAATTAATAAAACATGGTGAGCCACTTTCATGGTGGAATTCTCTTCACAGAAACTGGGTCACTGCAGTCTGAAGGCGCAAAGCTCGAAGCAGAATTTCTTTTGTTTAGTTGTTTTGGTTTTTCTATACTCCTATACTTAATATAAGACTAATTTGATTAGATTAAAAAAGTTAAGTAAGTTAGTTAATTAGAAGAAATATGACATATTTTTCTTAGAATACCATAATTATCTTTTTTAATATCCTCCATCAATATCCTACTTGATTATGATTAAGGGAATATCAAAAGAGATAATTTAAAAAAAGTTAATAAATGTGATAAATAAGTCTTATATTTATTATTAAGATCAATTCAATAATTAAATCTTATACTCCTCCGGTCCTAAATATAAGGCCTTTATACATATTGGTATAATGGTTTTATATTTAGGACCGGAGGAGTATTAAGGATAAGAGGAGTATTTTTTTGGTTGTGTTCCGCGGTTGGTCCATGGATTTTTACTTATTATTTTTAGTTGTGATTAAACTTTCGGAAGCTCTGGTCTAATCAATAATACGAATTTCTTCTGACCCAAAAAAATTTGAAAACACATAAATCTCACCGTAAGGGACCGTTTGGGCGGTGGGCCTCATTTATCCCTAAAATTCCAATCTTGAATTGACTACCGCTCATCATCAAATTCTTAACCATCGTTTTCCCCAATGCTTTCCCACAAACCACCTCTTAAGTCTCCCTTTTTCTTGGATGATCAGGTCTCCCCCTAATCATCATTGACATCCCCTTAATCAAAACCATCATTAATTTTCCCATAGCTTTTCCCCTAAATCATAGGATAATCAATGAAGCCCCGCTGCTTTCTCTTTCCCCCTAAACACTTTGTACGCCGTATTCGTACTTTGGTTAGCTAAAACTCTCAAAATGACCTGTCATTTTTCGCTTTGCTTTTCTTTTCCCGGTTTTTGCCCCGTTTTATCATAACTTCTTTTAAAATTTAAAAAATTGATCGAGGCAAAAAATTTATAAAATTGATACTCATTTCTACTTTTACCTTTTTAAATTTTATAAAATTTACCACACACTTTTTAATTTATTTTATTATTTTAGTATTATATTTAAATTGAACTGTATACTATATTTTTTTTTATTTTATCATGAAAAGTCTTAATCACGTGAGACAATTGTATTAGGCCCAAAAGATGATGGGAAAATTACACACAGATCCCATTTGACAGAATTTATTAATTTAATGTTCTTTGAAATCTTAAAATAAATAGAAGGTCCTATAAGACCTGAGAATAATATATTTTAAATAAGAAATTATATTGTTATCCTTATCCTGATTGACAAGCTGATGGGGGTAAATTAACAAGTCAATGAAAAGCTATTGACAAATCAAGGGTATAGTTGGTAACTAAATTAATAGAATAATATAACTTTCATATAAGATCAAATTATTACAAAAGAGTATTATATAATAATCTTTAAGCTGAAATTAGACGTGACCAAGGCATCCACACTAATATTAGACAAAATGATAGGTTTGTGTCATAATTTCATTACAGACACCCATTAACAAGCTTAGGAGTACTGATTAACAAGTTCATGGAAAGCTATTAACAAGTAAAGAAGTGTTAGTTAACAACTAAATTTATAGGATAATATAACATCCATATAGGATCAAATTATAACAAAAGAGTATAAGAATTTTTCTAATTTTATCTTATATGAAAGTTATATTATTTCATAAATTTAACTATTAACCGACACCTCCTGATTTGTCAATAAGTTCTCACTGACTTGTTAATAAATATCCACAAGTTTGTAAATGGATGTTCCCAACAAAATTATAAGATAAATTCATCATTTCGTCTAATATTAATGAACATGTTTTGGTGACACATGATTTTAACATAAATATTGTTATGTAATACTCTTTTTATTATAATTTGATTTTATATAAAGTTTATATTATTCTATAAATTCAGTTGTTAATTAATGCTTTTGGACTTGTCAACAACTTCTCATTGATTTATTAATTCACATGGGTTTGTCAATTAAAAACAGGAACAATGACGTAGTTTCTTGTTTAGAATATATTATTTTCAGGCTTGACAGGACCTCTTATTTATTTTAAAATCTCAGGGGTGTTAGATTAATAAATTGTGTTGTTTGGGATTTGTTTGTAATTTTATCAAAGATGACTGGGTAGGCAATCAGCCGTTGGAATTTTCTTCTCGAGCGATGCTGTTGAAAGATCGGACGGCGAGAATCGGGGGAGTCGGCCTGATGAGAGAGATAATAAACACGATTTATAGAGTGAGAAATCACGAAATGCTGGACCCTGCGGGAAAGACCTCACTGGAAGTGACTTGGTTCGCTACTCTCGAGGTCTCTGTCTCTGAAACAGTGCCAGGGATGAATGGAATATAAATATTAACACGGGGCGCATCAGCCTGCACTGTCCATGGAGATCAAACACGAATACGAACTTGCAAGTTGCCGCTTCTCTTCTCTCTTTCTCTTTGCCTAATTGCAACCTTTTCGTTGTTCTGAAGCTTCTCGAATAGCACACTTACTCTTGAAGTTATTCGCCCAGCGATGGGGGGTGGATGTTGACTGTTTGAGTGAAAGTTCATTGGCGGTGTTGGCAGGGATCCGGCGGCTATCAATATGATGAACGAGGGTTCGTTTGCGAACGGGAACGCCAATACGGCATCGTATAACTTGGCCGAGATCTGGCAGTTCCCCATGAACGGCGGTGCGGGTCTCGGGGAGTCTGGAGGAGGGTTGGCCTTGAGGAGGCCGCAGTTCGGACAAAATTTGGGGCTGTTTGGCGAGTTTACATCGGGTTCGAACCCGAATGGCCCGGGTATTGACCCGAGCTGTTCGGACCAGGGAGCGAACGGGGTCAATAGGAAGAAGCGCGATTCCGAGGATGAATCGGTGAAAGGCGTCTCCACCACGAGCAACGGTGGCATTGGCAATAGCAATGGCGTGGTAATCACTCGTTCGTATGCTCAATGATCTAGTATATGTGTATGTCTCAAAACCATTGGAAAGTTAATCCAATTAAGTGAGATTAAGCGCTGTTTTATTTGGCAGAAAAGTTGACGGTACGAAAAATTATAACACAGAAAATAAATCTGAAGTTATATTTTTAGAATCCATCCATTTACCAATTCTGAATTTGAGTTGAGCAGAATGATGGTGATGGAAAACGGCTTAAAGTATCTAGGAATAGGAATGAGAGCCCTGAAACTAAAGCTGAAACAGAAACCAGTTCAGAAAAGCCAGCGGAGCAAAGTACTCAGCCAGCTTCGGAGCCTCCTAAGCCGGCTTACATCCATGTACGGGCGAGAAGGGGTCAAGCTACTGATAGTCACAGTCTAGCGGAAAGAGTAATTTACCTCTGCTACTGAATTGCGTTATTGTTCCGATTTTTTTTTTATTTATTTAGTGTTGATCTTAAAAGAAGTAAATGAAAAATTATACTCTAGTTTTATAACCTTCTGTTACATATTTGTGATAAAGTGATTGGTTGTTTATGGAGCGGTAGACTAACTTGCTAGGCATTCTGATTGGAACAGGCGAGGAGGGAAAAGATAAGTGAGAGGATGAAAATTCTTCAGGAGTTAGTTCCTGGTTGTAACAAGGTATGGCTTAGTACTTGATGAGTTCTTTTCTGATCTGGGTTAACTTGAACTGGAGAAACAGGTGTTTGTATCTGTAGGGTCTAGGTTATTGATAAGACATCTGAAAATCATTCGTCACGGTTGTTGTTGTGTACCAACTTCCTTTGAAATTTTAAATTAAATGATTTTCTCGATTCAGGTTATTGGGAAAGCGTTGGTCCTCGATGAGATAATAAATTACATTCAGTCGCTAGAGCGCCAAGTTGAGGTATAACCCCGTTTTGACTTCTTTGGTTTCTTGTCCCGCTAATTATGATTTTTTTTCCAACACTTATTTATCGATTGAAATTGAGCCTTGTAATTTAACTGGATGACACAGTTCTTGTCAATGAAGCTTGAAGCCGTAAATTCAAGTGTGAACCCAGGTGGCATTGAAATTTTTCCTCCTAAAGATGTAAGTTGTCTACGACGTCTTTGGACTATGCATTGAATATTTACGAAACTTAAATAAATTGATGAGTCGAAAACTGGTTTTAATTGGTTTGTCTTAAATATTGAATCCCGATAGGCCATTAGTGCTTGTTCCTTTTGTTCTTCTGTACTGATTTAAAGAAGAGTCAAACTTCCTTTTATAGACAATATTCATATCAGGAACCCTAAGCTTCAAGAGTAATATTCATATCACGCATGCATATTGACTTTATATTGAATTACTATATGATATCTTTGTATGGGAACCTTCCTTGGGAAGTTGAGGATTTGAATGATATGTGAAGTTAAATTTATCATGAATGAATAGTGCAAAATTTGATTCTTCTGAAACTTGTACTTGGATACAGTTTGGTCAACAAGCAGTTGACATGGTAATTGGTTCTCAAGCCCCGCGAGATCAGTTCACCCGGGGTTCGTCACCGGAGTGGTTACACATGCAGGTGGGCGGCGGATTTGAAAGAACAACATGATTCCATAAATCCTTGAATCTGGTAATAAATACATACAGATGCAGTGTTTCCTTCCTCTGCTTAAGACAGATACTCAAAGCCCGAGAAGAAAATGGACAGGGCGAATGGTAACGCTGTCTTTTACAGGCCTGCTGAAGTTAGTATATACTGCTACTAGCATGTCCATTTACTGCCGTGTTGTAATATTTATTATTCACTGAATATGTGGCATGGGGGAATAGAAGGCAATATTCAGCTCCAACCTATAAGGTATTGTTCTTGTAAAAGAAGGCTGCCTCTCCTGATTACATATCGCTTACTTATTTTGTGCGGCAGTTTCAACATTGGAGTTTGTTTGTGACGCTATGTTGAATAAAGTATCCGGATACTAAATACATCCATAATTAAGCAGTTCAGAAAATGAACCCTTCCAAAACTGAATAGTAACTGATGATACCCTAAACTGATGATTAGTCCGTTTAGAATCGACATTTCCATAGGCTCTCCTTAAGAATGTAAAATTACAAGCTGAGGTAAAATGGATCGCGAAGCCCTCTTGGCTCGCTTAGAGACCTTCCTAAACAAGCTCCGTAAGAATGTAACCAGCAAATCGACACTGTTCTTCGCGTCCTCTTAGCTGGTGTCTGCCTCAATTCCGTCATAGCCCCCGAATAGGGCTTCGTCCATTTCCTCAGGTTCTCCTTCAGTTGAATTATTCAACGAAGAAGAAACGGGGCAACGGTGAACTCAGTTCGAAAACAAATGTGTATTTGCTTTCAGAGGAAGCAGTTGTGACAGCATACCTTGCCATGGCAATGACTGAGTCTGAGATTGGAACAAGAGTGGTGGTGGAATCGGGAACCAAGTGTTGCGGGTGGAAAAGGTGCCGTTGAAGAGCAGTGGAGGAGCTTGGTGGATGGATATGGTGTGTGATTGATAAAAGAGGCTAGAGTTGCAGAAGCTACTGCCATTTTTAAAATAGGGAGCTCTCACCTCTGTTCCCTTATTTTTTGATCGGCATACTCCATTTCTTATTTTCAAAAATAAAACATAAGCCATCTCTGCTTTCAGTTAAATGGGCTCAAGCAGTCAATAAGTCATGGGTCGGATTGGGATTGGGTCAGTCTTGTGAAGTGGATCAGGCGGCCATTTTACGGTGCTTAGTCGATACTGATATGCTACCCTGCTACTTTCAGTCCTAAACTAGAAATTTCTCCCACATGGACTCGTGTATTCAATTAGATTTGAAATTAAGCAATACTCACATTAATTTCTTATATCTATAATATCAAGTTTTTTAATCATAATTATGTGTCCTATTTTTAAAATATTAGCATTTGGTAGCATTTAATTATAAATCTATGTGAACTCCTATTTAATAATGATGCTCCTCATTTAATTCTATATATTCAAATTTTAATTAAGATATTTAAGGTCAAAATTAATTGTTAATTTTTTCATGTGAGCTTCCAATTGAAACCTCATTTAATAACGATACTCCCCATTTAATTCAATACATTTAAATCCTAATTAAGATATTATTCAAATCTCAAATTAATTATTAATTTTTCTATTTGAGCTTCCAATTGAAATCCCATCCAATTATAATGTTTCTTATTTAATTCAATATATTCAAATACTAATTAAGATATAGGAAAATTGGAAATAAATCCCTTATTGAAAAATTAATTGGCAAATGGGACCTACCAACTTTGTGCAACTTGATTTCTATTGTGTGCAACTAAATTTTCTTTGTGTGCAATTTATCTTTCCTTATATATAATAATCTTCCTTTGTGCAATATGCAACTCAATTTTTTTTATACAAATAAAATTCTTTTATGTGCAAGTTATCTTCCTTATATGCAAACTCTCTTATATCCAAATAATATTTTGTACAAATCATCTTTTCTTTGTGTAACTTACCTTTCTTTATACGTAACTAATCTTTCCAAGTGTAATCAATCATCCTAGGGACCATTTGCCAATTGAATTTGTAATAAGGGATTTATCCCTAATTTTCTCTTAAAATATTATTCAGATCTTATTAATTAAATATATTTGGATTCTATAATATCATATTTGACTCATTTTTAAACTTTCAAGAATCTGGTCAATCAATTGATGATGATATAAAATCTAATTTGTAGCGTAACAATTACCATTCACTGGCGGATGGGAGGACGCTTTCAAGTGGAGAAGCGAATACTCAGAGAAAGGAGGGGGGGCCGGGGGCAAAAGCCAAGAAAATTATGTTCATTGTTACTCGACATGATAGCCCAGTTCATCATCTTTCTTTTGAGAGTCCCTTCTTGTCTTCAATAATATTATTACATCCGCCGAACGCATTTACTGCTTTCATAAACGGTCCAACCCCACACAATTCTTTAATACATTTATATATTAAGAAAAAAAAATGATAAAAATCCTGTTGAATTTCAAAAAAAATAAATAGGTCATGTTAACTATTCTTATAATGATTTTAACTACCCTTATAATTGTTTTAACAAGTCAAAATCTATTAAAATTACCTATTTATTATTTTGAAATTCAATAGATATTTTTCTGTCATTCTTCTGTATATATAAATGTGTATCAGCTTCTCATTCTATGAAACATACTACCTCTGGTCCTTAATATAAAAGCTAGTTGACTAATTTGAGTAAATTAAAAAAATAATTAAGTTAGTTACTTATAATAAATAAGTGTTATTTTTCCTAAAATACCTTTCTTGATTAAGTGTATTAACTAGAACTATTATTATTACAAGGATTGTCTTGGGAAAAAATGGACAAATATAAGAAACAAAGTGAATTGGAGTCTTGTATTTAAAATTAAAATAAAAATCAAACTAGTTCTTATATTAATGACAAAATGTAGTATATAATTAAAGCGATATATGTAATGCTTACCTCCATAAAAATCTTATTCCACCTTTTCTTCTATGACCTTTCCTTGATTTTCGGCTATGCTCTGTGTGTGTGCACACACACACATATATATATATATATAGACACACATATTACCTCCGGTCTTTAATATAACACTAGTTGACTAATTTAAGTGAATTAAGAAAACGAGTTAATTTAATTATTTGTAATAAATAGGTATTATTTTTTCTAAAATATCCTTACTAATCAAGTGTATTGATTAGAACTATTACTATTACAATGATTACATTGAAAAAAAATGGATAAATAAAGAAGACAAAGTGACTTGAGGTTTTATATTTAGGACTAAAATAAAAATCAAAAGAATTCTTATGTTAAAGATCAGAGGTAGTACATATAGAGGTGATACGAACTTTAGTCATTCGAGTTTATATTTATTTGGGTTTTGGTTTTTTAAATTTCAAACCAAAAATTTTGGTCCATCAAGTTTCTTTTTATTTATAACATTAATTTCTATAATTTAATAAAAACTTGAACTATTTTACCTTCTAAGAACCAAAACTTATAGTTTAAAATTTGAGAGATCAAAATCAAAATGAGAATAAATTTAAAGGATTAAATATTATATTAGCCATATATATATATATATATATATATATACACACATATATCCTGTACTTCGTACACCGATGTGAGAATCATATGGTAGAAGCTTTTCAGCCACGGGACGAGTAAGAGTGTTTCTATCAAAATGAATAGATGTTAATAGTACCTGACATTGCAGCCCAAGAAAAAGTCTGTCACGCGAAAATGACACAAAATGGGAGTTTTCCAATCAAATCTCTTTGCCATTTGAGGTAATGTACCACGTGGCATGCTCCTACCTAGCTGCCTGTAAATTCAACGTGATTTGTCATCCACATGTTACAACCCTACGCAACATCATTGAAACGTGCCCAAATATAACGGGGGAACTTGCTTTGCACGAATTTTAAAATAAGTGGCTACTTATAAATAACATGATTCATTATAAATTTACTTTGCGTTAAGAAGCCTTTTGCTTATCATTTTCACCTTTAGATGAAACAACAACGAGGAGTCATATCTAATTAGATGAGATTAATTACATTATACTGTTATATTCTATTAACAATTAAATATTTAAATAAATTGTTAATTAAAAGATTCTACTCAGTAATTTAATCGAGTGTTATATTCAGCCATTCATTTTCTCTGTTCTATGATATAATTTTTTTTACTGGCGCATCTAATGATTTTCTTTGCACGTGTATGAATTATCTCAAAACGATTTTACTCCAGCTCTTACTCACATATATGTTCAAAATTTTCATACTCTTCTTTCTACCGTTCTTTTTCACGTGGTAAGTTAGAATGAGAAACGTAAGTTCCGAATCCGTGAAATTCCCTCTTCATATTTTATCTCTAAAGCATACTACTTGAAAAGAATACACATGTGTGTGTTATTTGAGAGGAACTAAGCGAGAAAGTAAGTGGGTATGGGCAATAAAGAGAGTGATGAAACATAGAGGAGGAATAATAATGGAGATAGTTATGTAAATTAAAGTGGAAAAAAGGAAGGTAGCTTTCTGGGCATCATATATGCCCAAGCCTAACTATATTTGATGAAGAAAATGGACACGAGATCATGGCCTTTCATGCCTGTCAGTCTGGCAACTGTTTCTTTCGCTTTAAATTAGGTCGCTCGCCAACCCCACCAACTACAATATCCCTTCACTCTAATAAATAATACTCCTTCCGTTCGTTATTATAAGAGACATTTGATGCTTATGGTATGTTCCTATATATAAGAGACACTTACAAGTTGTCTTTACTTTTTTGTGTTGATTTACTATTTTACCCATATTTATTATCTCCAACTCACACTCTCTCTCCCTCCCACTTCTCTTTCTTTTAATAATTTAATTGTTCTCTCTCATGCTCTTTCTCCTTATTAATGAGGGCATTTTTGGAAAAAAATTATACTTTTTACACATTAATTGTTCTTAACTAATTTTAACTGTTTTTTTGATCAACGTACTTCGGTTATTTGTCTCTTATAATAAGGAACGGAGGGAGTACTGTATAAGAACTAATTTAATTTTTAAATTAATCATAACCATAAGAACTCAGTTTATTTT